AATTTTCATCGAAATCGGCAAAGTAATATATTTTTGTAAGAGGACTGTAGGTCGCTTATGTTGATTGGATAATTTTTTCATGAGATATTGACGTATAGGTCCGAAATGTACCAAAAACACGTTTTTCGAAAAAATTACGAAAACGCTTGTTTGAAAAGAAAATTGGCTTGGAATATATTTTTTTTTCTTAAGCGATTACCACAAAACTTGTAGAACAGTGTTATATTTGATGCTGGTCTTCAATTTCTCGTCATCCATTGTCCATAACCGTACAATATTTAGGACGCATTGACTAGTTGAACCTTCAAAACCAGCTTACCCTTACGTAGTTATCAATTAGTTATCGACACTGCTTTTATTTCGATTAGGAAAAGTTAATTTTAAAACATCGAAGAAAATGCGGGACAAAGGCAGGACACTTGTAAAAAATCAGTACATTTTGGGGGTTTTCTGTTTTGAAAAACAACGCAGGACAGACCTTTAAATAACAGTACGGTCCTGCAAAAAACAGAACGGATGGTCACCGTACCTATAGAGCGGTACGCAAGCGATCTGGTGCAAAATTGGCGATTACCAACCGCTAGCGAATTGCCTAATAATCGGTAAAGCATGGAATATTTAGCGTATGGCCGTTTCTTGTCACTAGTAGAACTGAAGGGTAGTCATTTGTCCATGCATACATATTTCTGTCAATTTGATGCTTCACAGCCAAGTGATAATCAAGTTTTTGTTGCTTTGCTGTACAAATTGCTTTTTAACTGTCTGGTTGCTTTCGAAATTTCACAGCAAACCGACAGCCAAAGAATCTGCTTTTTTACCTTCCTTTTATTAGCTCGGGATGTAACTATGTAATATTGATGCGCCTAAAAGATGCAGCGATTTCTATTCTCAAGTTACATACCTGATGACAGTACGGACGGCAATTATAATAGGGAGGTTTTAGTTTTTTAAACTATATTGTTATTCCGTATTACTGTTGCTTTGCTTTCGATATCATACATGCCGAAGTCAAAGCACTGCAAAAGCAAATTAAATGATAAAATTATAGCATTTTGAAATCATGCTTTAGACACTTTTTGTAAAGCGTTCAATTCTCTACAAAAATACTCCAAGACCTTCACAGTATCCCTGTAGTCAAATGAACTAGTTGTAAACTACCTCATAACTAGTATGAACCGCATGCCCAACTAGTCAGCCAACTATCTTTTTCCCATGCAACCAACGGGTATTTTTTACATGGGGATGTCCTACGAGAAGGCAATTGTCAGATTTCGGTCAGAAATATACCAATCTCATACTAGTTGACAATAGACAGAAAAATACTAGTCCAATTATGAACCAAACCCACTACTTTGGGAGTGAAAGAATAAAATGAATTCATTAATAATATAAAATCAAAAATAATTTAAAATGATAAAAAAATAACAAAATAATGACGTAATTAAAATTAGTGAATTAATTTAAATTTTCTTAAGTAAAACTCGTAAGTTTACGAGGCTTTTACGGAAACGCCCCCTTTGTGAAAAGGTGCGTAAACTGACTGTTTGACAGATAAACCAGGATTTTGTGAAGCAATTTTTGTTTCGCTGCATTTTCCATAACATTCCGCCGTCTTGTCTCTATTACTATTGCCTAAAATAAAATTAAAAATGCCGAAAATTAGCAGAAAACTCATGTTAGTACTGTTAGTGGATGAAATTCATTGTTTTTATTCACATTTTATTATTTTCCATTTTTTTTCAATACTATAAAATACATTTTAGTATATAATTTTCCGCTCCTCGGCAATACTGGGGCTCGTAAATAGAGCTCTATACAAATTTTGACATTTCTTTACGAGGTTTACGAGGCTTTTACGAGTTTAAGGGAAGACCCCTATTATTTAATAGGTCTAGTATAATTGAGTACGTACTCTATTTAATGGTTTACAATATACCCACATAAAAGTTATAACATTTTGTTTAGTCAAATAAAACAGGGCATGAATAAATCGTTTTGTACTTTGTCTTTGCTGACTAGTTTGGGATTTCACTGCAGGGATAACGTATCGCCCTACAAAAAAAGTCTCAAGTCATTTTTCGATAAGTCAACTCGGTCAAAAGTTATTCCAGGTCAAAGTCGAAAGAATGGTGAATTCGTGGAGCGCTCAATTCTCTTCAAAAATACTCCAAGACCTTTGCAGTACAACGTATCGTTCGTTAAATATAAAAATCAGAATTAAAAAAAAAAAACAATTTGTCCTGTGTTATTATTATGGGAAATCGAAAAGTGCGATGCGGAAATTCTTAATATTAGTATTAAGCGCTCATATTTTCTGAGACTTACTTTGGCGTCTAAAGGAAACTTTTGAGCATGATTCCGAGGAAAGAAGATATAAAAAAATTTTCTGAATCACCCTAGTACACCTCCATATGCATATACATATACATAATGCATATACTTCTATATATGAGACTTACATATCTATCGAAAGTATTTTCAATAACATCAATATCCAACTCGGTTTTCAAGGCGTGAAATGCTTCATCCGTGAGAAAGCTGCCTTTCAACAGCACTGGTTCGCTTTCTCGTTTTTCTTTGCCTGGCAGTAAACTTGCCGCATTTGGTATGAGACTGGGACGAGTACTTGGATTGAGAGAATCCGGCCCAAGTGCAGCCACCTGTGTTTCTGGATCTTCGCTAAGATGGAAGGTAGTTGTTGTTGTAGCTGTAAATACTCGGGTAAATATTATTTTCACGAATGTGTTTCTAGTAGTTACTAACCCGCCGTGGGCTTTATCTTTTTTCGTTTCTTGCCACGTCGTATGTCCTCATCGTCTATATGCTGTTCATTGATACAAGTTTGTACATTTTTAATTTCCACCCCTTCCATTTCTTTAGTGCTATCAGTGACTGGGGCATTACCTAGGGAAGTGTTGGGGCGCTGATCCTCGAACCGTTGCTGCTTATTTTTTCTTTCCTCATTAGCGCCAGCGCTCTTGGGCTTAATACCACTAGTATCTGTGATACTTTGTGACATATCCGACGATGGTTTCCAGTATAGAGTCTCTTGAGAGTGTGTGCGTCGTAAATCCAAAATGATTTTTTTCCGTTTGATTATTTCATTTTTACCCAACTCGGGGGTTATGCAGCGTCGATTGTTTATGAAGGAACTGGTGCTGTTACGTGTGTGCACACTTGTAACGGTTGGCGTTGGGGTGAGAGGACGCGAGTCTGTGTCAGTGTACCGTCGGACAAGATCCTCGGGTATGTTATCGTGCTCATTAATTGGTGATACAACGTTTTTGTCTTTCAGAAGATTTACACTTTTTCCATCCACTGTCTAAAATGTTTAGTTTGCATTAAAAATATCTAATTGTGTAAATTTTTCCATTACCAGTGAAGATTTCATTTGACTTATTATATCTTTTAGGCCAGATGGTGCAGGATGGTTGCAAAGTACCGAACAACCTTTAGAAAAGGGATTGTACAGACCTCCAAATGGCCGCAATGATAAAGCCATTGGCATCGCCTCAAATCTGATAGGTAACTCGTCTGTCGATTTCTTTCGCTTAGTGAAATATGTAAGTATAAATAAGTATGAAAGTACACAATCATTGTATGTATATTTGTACGTATGCATGTAGGTATGTATGTGAATATTATACACATATATGCACTTTGAAAAGCGACGGTAAAATAAAGTTTACCTTCTTTTTTAATATGAAATCTTTTTTCTTGGCTGGTACCAAGCCGGTTCTACTGGTTGTATTCATTGTTGACTATAGTTACAAACTAAATTGTTTATTTCAACTTTGATAATGAACGCTATTTATTCTATTGACTTTTTGGTTACCAAGTAAACCTAAACGTATGCACTCAATAAGCAGTGATATGTTTATGTGCACTGAGAAAAACCATATCCTCTTTGTTTCAAAATAAAACAAATATGATTTGGAACCAAACGAACTTTTGTTTACGTTAAACATTTCACAAATGCTTTTTTTTGTAATTAATAGCGTTTTCTTCATCCATGAAATTGTTGCCTCAATATAAGGCAACATCATGTAAATGTTCCCCTGCGCCTCGTAGAAAGGCTGAGTTTTGCGTATGGCAAATATATCATCTACATATTTGTTTATGTAAATATTATTAACATAGATCTAAGGGCATACATATAAAATACATAAACAAAAATGTATCATCTACATTGCCAAAAACAGGGTTATCTTTGCAGATTATTCATTTGTATGTGATTTCGTTCTGCACTTCACAGATGCTTTTTCGCAATTAAGAAAAATCATATGCCAAGTCTAAATAGCATTCGAACCCGAACCCTCCTGAAAACTAGCAAATTGTAGCAAGAACCCCTGCGCACTCAGCTCCAGCCACAACAAGTAAGTGTGTTTTCAAATGTTTGCTTTGAGTCAATGCCACATCACGAGATTGGTGCATTTGTACAGATTTATACATTTTCATAGTTATAGGGTTTTATTGAGCTGATCTGATTTTAAAAAAATTCTAAACAACGACACTCTGTGATCGATCAAACGGACTTGTGCTTTAAGTTTGTTTTAAAAATACTTAGACTCAAAAATTTCCAATCGCTAATCTGAAGAAACCAAAAATTACTCTGTTTGAAAAAAATCTTGTAACTTTTTTCTCAGTGTATATCCCCTTTGATATGCGCCTAGTTACACCGTGTAATTAGCAGTTTTGTATTTGCTAGTAATTTTTTTCAAACAGAGTAATATAAATAAATTTATATAATTAGACATTTTTATGTATATTTTTTTAAGTTTACTTAGTTTTTGTGAACTTTGTGTAAGCTTTGAAACTTTTATTTAGGTGGTTTCTGATATATGTACATCGACCTATACTTTAAATGAAACATATTAACAATCAATAAATAAAGTGAAGTTGCCACTGCATCATTTTGAATTTTGCGGCTATTATTTTGGCCGCAACTACGTACGTGACACACACAACCATTTAAACCAGAGGTGGGCAGCTTCGACAGAGAATTTTTGTAGTGTGCGAGAAATTGATGTCAATGTGTGCGTGCAAACAAGTCGTGCGGTTGAATGAAGCTTTCGCTGCCTTCTAAAGCAGAGCGTGTGTGTATACGCGAATATGCACGCCGGGCAGGCGCCGACCACTTAAATACAAATTCCTAACTGTGTTGCAAACGTAATAGAATACCTAAAAGCTGTATTGAATCTCAAACTTATTAATCAAAGTTTTTTATAAATATTTCGAATAGCACATTAATTAGTTAATTAGTATCACAGAAATACTCAATATGCATAAGAGATACAAATTAGTTTTAATAATAATGGTTTTAGAAGACGAAGGAGTAACAGAAACTTTAGGTTCATTCCTTATTTTTTTGGACTAAAATCTGAAAAGTGTCAAAATGCCAGAGCGTAAGCAAAATGCGCTCTCTAAAAGAGAATAACAGGAAAAGTAAAGGAACGCAAAAAACCAAATTTTTAGTCCACAAAATGGCAACAACAATACTAACGTCAAATAAGAATGAAAATGTATCTACAAAACACATTCACACAAGCACAAGCACAATAAACACTTACTATATCAATTAGTTTTTGCCTCCTTCCAATTTCAATTCACTTTTTTTACTTTTAAGATTATTATCACTTTTTGCGTATTCTTAATTTCCGTTAATTCAAATTCAGTTGTGTTTGACACTTTTCAGGATTTCGCCAGAAAAAATTCTTCTGACTAAATCTGGCTACTTTGGACTGATGAGAGTCACTCTCACTGAGTGTCGCTCTCTAATTTTTGCTCTCATTTCCGAGTTAAGGAACGCATTTTGGACTACATCTGACTACTTCGGACTTTTTCTGACTATTTCTGGGAGATAAGGAACGCTCCTTTTATGTTCCTATTTTAAAGCACAGTTTGCCTCAAAAAGTAAATTAGTGCTATTTACAAATTAAATGAAGTATTTTTTTATTTACAAAATGGTATGCGTGCTTAGTTAATTACAGTATTTAAAGAAAGGCCCTATACTATACTTGTTAAAACCAGCTCAGAACTAACCATATTTGATCTATCCCGGATGCCTCTATTTGAACTATCTAGGAACTGTTACTATATGAACTGTCTCAGAACCATCTAAGCCAGAGTCAGCTCAGAACAAGTTCAAAAGTTCTGCAGAGGGCGACAATTGTCACTTCGTAGAACATCGCCACGTTAAAAAGCATTGAGTTGGGATAGATGAAGAATCAGTACCGTCCCTTTTTAGGCTAGCTCAGCGCAAGTTCGGAACCAGTTTGGTTTGCTGCAGGGTATCGTTGAATTATTTTAATATCTATTGCAAAATTTTATACAGAAAAGACTAAAAAGTAGAAAATAAATAATATTAAAACAAACTGTTTAATATACAACGCTTTTATAAATGGACTAAAAAGTAGAAAATAATAATTCTCAGTCCCATAGAATTTGTTGTGATAGCTTTTGATTTTGAAATTTTAGCAAAAGTCATTATAAACCATTTATGAGATTGAAAATGAAAAGCGTGGGGCGCATGTACTAGGCCAGAATTGATATGAAGGGTAATATATGTATGTATGTGGATATATAAATAACGACCGCTTAAAATTGATCTCAAATTTGTACTTTCTCTGTAGAAATTTTAGGTCTATGTTATGTAGTTTGACTATTGTCAATTAAATCTAATATTTTGTATTGCATGCGCCCCACGCTTTTCATTTTCAATCTCATAAGTTGTTTATAATGAGTTTTGCTAAAATTTCAAAATCAAAAGTTATCAAAACAAATTCTATGGGACTAAGAATTATTCTTTTCTACTTTTTACTCTATTTATAAAACCGTTGTATGTTAAACGGTTTTTTTTTTATTTTATTATTTTATTAATATTTGGCGCTACAATCAGAAACAGAAAATTTTACCAATGGCCTCTCTGTTTTGTATGTTACGCCAGTTTTTCGTACCAAGTATATAAAAGTTATTCTGCACTCGGATTCATAGGCGCCCTTTCTTTTCTCTACCGATCATGGGTGCCAAGGCGAAAGATTCTTATGTCTGTTCAACCGCAGTTCCTAGGGTAACTATAGAGCATATCGTCACCTGAGTCGAAGATCTACATATCTCGTCAGCCAGTTCAAAAACGCCCTATCTCAGAAACCTTTCAAGAACGCCCTATTTCAGAATTTGACTAAAGGACGCTCAGTTCAGAATTTGATTGAAAAACGCCCTATCTCAAAATTTGGTTGATGAACGCCCTATCTCAGCTGCCGAAATTCTGAAATAGGGTATCCTTTAATCAAAGTCTGAAGTAGGGCGTTCCTGAAAAGTTTTCTGAGATAAGGCGTTTTCGAACTGGATTCCGCGGTAGGTCGATCTTCCACTCAAGTGACGATATGCTCTACCGTTTCTCTTGCAACTGTTAAGTTACAGCTATGACAAGAAGTATTGTGCTCCAGTTTTAGTCTTGCGGCATTGGTTCCCAGGGCCTAATGACATGTGTAAACGGCAGTTAATAAAGACAAATCCTCCTGTTCAGTTTAATGAGAAATGGAACAGGTAGTCCACAGACACAAAGAGCCATAGAGTCACAAAGGATAGTAGGTATTTCCACCTACTGTTCGTCACCATTTTCCAGGCCCTTGCTATAGCTCAGAGGCAAAAGAACTTCTTCAGACATTGAGATGCTGTTACCCCAGCCTAAATCCATGTGAAAGGAGATCATTTTATTGCAAAAACTAATTCTTGTTAACATATAAAGTATTAGGATGCATTGCAAAACGTCAAAATACAAAGCATAAGTCTCTTTTATTTCTAAACCTCAGTATATTATAATGCCATATGTGCGACTTTTTCTTCTAGCGCGGATCGAAACTAAGTATGTAAGGCTGTATAACAGTTTTAAGGTTGTATAACAGTATCTAATACCATGTCCCCACCAAAAAGTTAACCATCTCAAATCGAACTTAACCACATCACTAACTATTGCTGTCCACACTGCGGTTTGAGGTTTATAAAACAGTACAAATGTAAAGAACAGTGTTCGGACCTCCAAAAATCGATTCAGGACTAAATTACTGCAAAAATCAGAGCAAAAACAAATAATCCGTACTAGATTGAATTTTTTATTTTTGTTTCTGACATTAATTGTTTGACTAAAATATTTTCTATTCATGCAAAATAAGAACGCGGGGCAATGTAAGGATAATATGTTACATATTTAGGTAATTTTTAGCATTTTCTATATAGTATAGTATAGTATCTAACACTTAATTTTTTAAAAAGCAAACCTTCTCTACTTTATATAAATTTCATTCTACATATATTTTTTAACAAGTTAAGTAAAGTTCTGCATCCGCCAATTTGTACAGCCATACATCAAAAAATAACGAAGTTACTTTATTGACGCATTGCTATGAAAGAGTTACTTTTTAACAGTGAGATTTGGCTAACTTTCAATTTTTTTACTGAAACCGGTGGTGAACACTCAAAAAACGGCCCCAAAAGGGGCATAACATGAATGAAAAAAACGGAATAGATTGGAAGTCAAGCGGAGTAGAGGAGTAGATTTCAAATTTTTTCAAAAACCGGAGTAAATGTAATCTGATCTTAGTTGAGTCCAAACACTAGTAGGGAACGAATTCTTTACATTTTAACGCTAATGACCCACAGATGGCGGGAAAACACAGGGTTGTATCAGACTTTCGACGTGGTTTCGAGTTGGTTAGCTTTTAACCTGCTCAGTGAAATGGTTAAGTGCTGTCAT